GGCAGTTCAAACCCACCAGCCACTCCTCGGAAGGAAGGTTGGGCAATCCTACATCCGTAGTGATACTGCCTCGGAAATCCAAGGAGGGGTCGCTATGAGTCAGGCTTGACTCGACGGCACATAACAACAACAACAACGACAACGACAACAAAAAAAAATATATATATATATACATACACATATACATATAAAGCATGCACCATAAAAGCAACAAGAAAGCAAAGGAGGAATAGAATAGAAAAGACATGAGGCATACAGAAAAAATTAAAAAGTGAAATAAAATGACATAGAAAATCAACTACATCAAAACAGAATTAAGTATGAATGAATTAAGCAAGAGGCAAAGTGTCAAGAGTTTAAAAAAAAAATTCCAGCTATATATGCTGTCTACAGGAGACATACTTTAGATTGAAAAGAGAAAAGGACAATTCTACAATACCTGACTTTCAATGGTTGATAGAACAACTAAGTAGAAGGCCAATAATGATACAGAAGACTTATATATATACATATATAACTAGATCTAACAAACATCTATAGAATACTCCACCCAACAGAATGCATTTTCTTCTCAAGTGCACATAGGAAACTGGAAAAGAAAACTGAAAAAGATAACCTTTTATCCCACCAACCTAATCAATAGTTTTTAAGGCGTTCTGGTGGTGCAGTGGTTAAGGCATTTGACTGCTATCAAAAGGTAGACGATTCAAACCCACCAGCTGCTCCACCTTAGAAAGATGAGGCAGACAGCTTCCATAAAGATTTACAGCCTTAAAAACCCTATGGGGCAGTTCTATTCTGCTCTATAGGGTCATTATGAGTCAAAATCAACTCAGTGGCAGTGAGTTAATGCACTTGTTTATGTTTTGGCATGTCATCTGCATGTATCATTATTAACTTTTTGATACTGTGATGTAAGTTTCAAAATGTTGAAGTCCTCTTCTTGGAGGTGGATTGTGTTTAAATTCGGAACACATATGCCCACAGAATGTGTTCCTCCTCTGCTCACAAAAGTTAAGGTAGTGTGCAATGTAGCATATATTATGCATTATCTTCATTTACAAGATAAGGAAACCAAAGCTCCAAGAATTCTGCAACCTGCTCAAGGTGTGCATCGTTGCCTCTACAAATCTTTTATCCAGCCAAATTTAATCAGGTTAACAGCCAAAAGGAAGAGGGCCTGAGGTTAACCCAATATCCCTGTGTGACTGGAAAATGACAGTGATTCCGCAAAAGTCTTCACTCAGAGCTTGAAAGGGAAAAAGTCTTGGCAGTGGGAGGTGCTCCTGGCCGCTGGCAAGCACGTGAGCGACTCCAGCGTGGATGCCAAAGCGCATGCAGAAGCAAAGGGCACCTTACAAGTGACTTTTCCTTCCCGCCGGGTCGTCAGATTGCTGCGTGCCATCCCTGTGGCAGCCACAGAGGGAGCCGGCCCGCAGGAAGTGCTGCTACAGGCTCCGGGTTCTGCCCCAGTGAGGGTTCCACCGGGGGCTGGGGGAACGCGAGGGAAGGAATTGGACAAGCCTGGCGGAGGGTCCGTGGGCGACCCTCAGGACAGGTTCAGGGGTAAGCCCGGGGATGGGCAGTGCCGAGCTCCCACCCCTGCGTACCCGGGTGCTATGTGGACAATAGCTCTTGCTGAAGATCATCACGCGGTTGCCTTCTATGAGGCCCTGGAGGCGGCGCCGCAGCTCCTCGCGGGCCTCGACGGATGGACCACTGGTCCCGGGGGTCGACAAGCGGGCCCGTCGCCCTGGGGGTGATGACAATGCGGCCCCGCGGACGCCGCCCAGGCGGCGGTTGGGGCCAGTGCCCACCTTCCCCGGGCCCGGCGACGTCTGCGCCGGTGGCGGCGGGGGCTGAGCCAGGGTTTCGCTGTCACCCGGCCAGGCCGGGTCTGCTCTCAAACCAAAAAGCGGGCGGCAGCCAGCAGTAGCGGCCTACAGGGGCGACAAGCACTACCCTTACCCCACCGGCCTAGAGACCAAGGTGGCTGCTCTCTCGGGCCCCAGTCCTCCTCGCGCATGCGAACTAGGTCTCCGGCCCCGCGTCGGCGCAGGCGCCAGTTGCAGTTCCGGAAGAAGCGTGTGCCGAGCTACATCTTATTATCACTGGGTCGTGCGCGCGAATTTGGGCTGATTTTCGCGATCCTCTGTGCAGGACCTTCCACTCCTTAAAATCTCCACTAACACCATCAAGCCACCTTAAAAATAGATCTCTTTTCTTCGGTGAGGATGGATGTGTTATGGAGAGTGTGAATAAAACCATCACTTTTTTTAAAGGTTATATTACACAAGTAAGTAAAAACAAAATTTCATTTGTTATCTCAACACAGCTTTAAGATGAGTTTCCTAGGTTGTCACCTCTCTGGGACCTTAAGTCCACCTGTGCCAGAACAGAAATCCTCTGTCCATCTTTGGGGTCAGGGATCTCAAGGCTGAGCTTACACACATGCCTTACAACCCACTGTGCTGAAAGAATGAATGAAACTGTAGGCGTGAATCTTTAAAAAATTGAGGTACTGGCTTATCTGAAGGAGCTCTGGTGGTGTTGTGCCTAAGGCACTTGACTGCTAACCAGAAGGCTGGCGATTCAAACCCACCAGCCACTCCTTGGAAGGAAGGTTGGGCAATCTACTTCTGTAGAGACACTGCCTGGGAAACCCAAGGAGGGGTCGCTATGAGTCCCATCCGACTGGACGGCAGAGTTTGGTTTGATTTGGCTTATCTGAACTGAGTGACTTCAGACCTAAATTTAAAACTTCATTTTGAATTAAACTAAGATTTTTCACTTCTGCATTTCTAAAGTAACTAGGCTTTTTCTCAAAGTTTTACTGCTTGAGAACACAGAAGGCAAAAGTCAGGATTTCTAACCTGTACAAAGAATTACTTGGTGTTTGTTAAGAGTGTTTGTGCATCTGGCCCCAGAGAAGGTGCCTTGGTCAGCAGGAGGATGGAAAATAGATAATGTTAAATGAAGTTAGAACCTGTAAATAACTTTATAGCTAAAATAGATATATAACAACAACACATAGTGCCTAAGGCATTTGACTGCTAACCAGAAGGCTGGGGGTACAAACCAACCAGCCACTCCTCAGAAGGCAGATTGGGCAATCTACTTCAGTAGAGACACTGCCTCGGAAACCCAAGGAGCAGTTGCTATGAGTTGGATAGGACTCGATGGCAGTGAGAGTTCACATCCTGACTCCCAAATTAAATTTTCACTCACTGGGGTTTTCTTGTTTCCACTATCCCTTTGTAAATTTGTAAGGAACATAGAGACTAAACCAAAAAACCAAAAACTGTTTTTTTTTTTTTTTGGTTAGGCTCTATCTTCCTTACAAATTTACAAAGAGCTAGTAGAAACACATAAGATAGACTAAGTTTGTTAAAAAAAAAGGAAACAGTACAGATGTATTAGAAAATTAACCCCTGGCAGAATGCTTTCTTAAACAATTCTCAGGATGTAACAACCTCAGAATGTAACAAATAAACTTACTGAAACTCACTAAAAAAACTTACTGAGGTAAACTTACTGTGTTGGTGTTGTTGTTACGTGCCATTGAGTCAACCCTGACTCATAGTGACCCCTCCTTGGGTTTCCGAGGCGGTATCACTACAGATCCAGGGATCCAGGTGAGGAGAAGGAACTCAGGCATGCCCAAA